CAGTATTAGACCGCCGTGAAGTTTTTTTCGGAATTGACAATCACAGGGAAAGGATCCTCAACAGAAAGACTGAAGTCACGTTCTGTAGTATTTCCAATACTTTGAAGCAGCAGAACTGAGTCATCCAGATTAGGTTTCAGTCCTATTATCGTTGTGGAAACTTCACCAGCAGCATCCGGTTTCAAAAATAAGTGATTTTCCGCGTTCAATGATAAGCCTTTCTGTCCGCTGGAATTCTGACTCCGTTCAGTCCGTTGACAGGCAACTGTTGGACCAGGACTTCGTATGAACTCGATTTTCTGATGCTTGTAGTCGGCCCATTTGTTCGGGAAAAGATAAGCACAGTTCTTCGATGCATCCGTCATATTCTTGGACAAAAGGTCGTTATCTGCTTCGAGGATGGGGTGAAAAGATGTAGTCAATATTGGTGTGCACTGATGATGGTTATTTTCGCATATGAGATGGTTTATCCAAAATTGAGCCAAGCTTTCGCCTTCTGATGTATCCCAAAACGTAGGCTTGAAGTTCACGAGTGTTTCTTCAGTCCACGTAGCTAATTTCCCGCCAACTGCCGTATCAGCGCACTTTGCTCGCGCTTCTCCGAAATTGCCGACAATTTTCGATTGAAAGAAGCACTTCCCGGGAACATTCTCGAGTCGTAACCAAACTGATGGACAGAACGGATCTTTGGCTTCGCAGATGAAGCGTTTCTCCTCCGAACAGTTCCCGAAATTTGTTGTCCACCTGTTCGGGTATAACACGGCGAAATCCCCGTTGCCCTCTGGAAAACCTGGTCCCCAGTTGGAGAACCTTGGCCTCGCTCCGTTGTGTAACCATTTCCAGTCATCTTCTCCTTGCTCATCTGACAGACCTATCCAAACTAAGGCTGATGTGGACACCAAGCCTATTTCTTCTATTTGGTCTGTGCCGTCTGCCTCCGCCAAAACAGCCCCGAGTGTTTCGCAGTATTCCGAAGCAGTTTTCGCATTCCCGCAGGATCCTTGAGTCAAAATGCACTTTCTGTCCTTGGACTCGAT